GGGGAGGAAGGGGGGGGAAGGGGGAAGTATTCCAGAACCAAACTTACGACATTTAATCTAAAATTTACCTGATTTAAACACTTGAAGTCAGGCATGATTATTAAAATTTACCTTAAAATTTCAAATGTCTTTTACTCCTTGTGTGGATCAATAAGCTAAGGAAAGGTATTTAGTGTTTTTAAGCAGCAGATTATAAGAGCGCAAGAAAGTCAGAGGCATTCATGAACAGCTCCAATGTTTATAAAAAGTATATTTATCATCTGAATGTAACAAACAGTCTTTTTGAGATTCTAGTTCTAGATGAGACTAGGTTGGCTGCAAGGGTTCCCATGCTTAATCTTCAAGCTACTGCAATCTGTTCACTGGAGTTGCTCAGATTTAGCTATTGATAATTGATATACCTCATCATATATCTTAGTTTTATAAAGTCCACGACAGACATTTATATGAAAGAATAAAACTCATTGGATTTTAATCTCATATTTGAAGAAATTAGATGTTTTTAATAAGTGAATCAGTATCTTTCTCTGGAGATTCCTGTAGACAACTTCATCACATACAAGACATTTGGGGGGGGGGGGGGATTTTTTTATACTGAGGAAAACACCTTCAAACTTTCTAACAACATTTTTTAAGAAGTGTATCCAGAGCTATTCAAATGCAACGTGTATTTTGGCTACCCGTGACATGCAAGGAATCATACTGCTGTTTCAATAATTTCACACCTAAGTGAAACAGGACTCTTTCTTGCTTTACCTATGCAAGCTGATCTAGCGAATTGAAAAGCCATAGGCATTTCCTCTCTGTAACAACAGGCAATAAAAATTATTTAACAGTGTAGATGGTAATTTTTAAACATGAGGTGAAGTAAAACCCAGATCACTGATTTACATTTCAAAAACCATGTAACTATCGAAAAGCTCATGTCTGGATTTAGTCCTGTTTATAGGGTTCACATATTGTTAAGAAATGACACAGTGCCCCTTTCCTCAAAAAGAAAAGCATTTTGCAAAAATGTTCCCTCACAAGGTTAGAAACACATTAGTCACTATTTTACAGGTGAAGGAAAAACAAGGGAGAAGGAAAGTAACAAGAATATCCAAGATCAGGTGTTGGGTCAAGAATAAAAACCAACAGCTGCAACTCCAGATGTGGCACAAATTATTTTGAGCCATTACTAGAGTTATAAGGTGGGCTATTAAACCTACTTAAGAAAAACTAAATGAGTCTATTACCAAACAGATCTTAACCCCTAATACTACTTCCAAGCATACAACCAGACCATCATGGGACATGGACTACCTGACTGCTGGCTAAAAAGTTTGATGAAAAAATAAAGTAGTAAAAAACCTTGCAAACTCAAAAGTAGAAAAAGTAACCTAATCCCATACCTTGTCATGTGATCGCAGTATTTACAAATGCAAATCACCAAAATAAATGTTACATGACAAGAAAGTTTCTTCCTCTGTATCAACTCGAAACGTAACAAAGAATGACTTGCAGACACAGTATTTTCTATGCTGACCATGAAACAATTTTAAAAAGCAGACAGAAAAAAAATTTTTTTTTTTAAAAGCAATACCTTTAAACTTGATATTTTGCTTTCTCTGGATGTATATTCTCGCAACATGTAGGCCTTGTCAGCCTAATAGGAAAAAAAAGGCAAAAATTAATCACAAAATTATTATCTAGCATCAGTGCAAAACAAGCACTTTAAATGCACTGAATTTAGTAAGTGTCTGAATTTGGTTGACCACAGATTTTCACCTGGGAGCAGAAACGTACATTCAAATTCATGAAGACAGAGAAAATTGTTTAGCACTGTTCTCTTTCCCAAAAACTACCTTTCTGCATGCACGCGTGGAAAAAAAAAAATCTATGACTGAATATGGTTGTTAATCTTTACTCAGCTAGAACTGCTACATCAGTACGAACACAGCTAGACAGAACAAGCAAACCACAACTGTTACGTTCTCTATTATTTATGAGATATAGAACTCAACATAGTATGGACAGTTATTTGCAAGTTAAAACTTGCAGTCACGTACTAGACAAGCCAAAACCCATTTGTTCAGAGACGGGGATAAAAACAATACCACACTATTTACTGTTGCCTGGTTTTCCTCTTGTACTTCCTCTCTAACCTGCGTCTGTCAAATATATTTAAATGACTACTTCACGTGAAGGGTAGCCTACTCTGCTCATACAATACCTAGCCCCATGGCACCCAGCACGTGGTTGCTACTTCAGCACCACCTGAATAATAAAACACACTTGAAAGTTCGGTCCAGATAACCTCTACGCCCCCAAACATCAGTATTAAATTACAGGAATATCAGTAGGTCTTCTCTGAAAGCAACATGGCGAGGGAGCATCTGTAAAATATTAATGACAAATAAGGGTTTACCTCATGATGAAGCCTTGTATCATTCATCCTGATAAGTACCCCATCAACTCGCAAGAAAAACCTCAACAGCACAAAAAAGCTGGAAGGCATGACTCTCTGCAAAAATAAAGATGCTCCACTCAGCATACTACAAAGTATTACTTCAAGT